TGCGCGCCCCGGCTGATTCAGACAGTAGGGCCTCCGTGGGTACGCACGTGCCTTTGTTTCCCACCGCGAGCGGCGAATATCGCGATTTTTCACCCCTTCCCCCTCCCCCCCTCCCTCTCTTTCTTCTTCGGCGAAGGCGTTTCGCCACGCGCTGTCCCGCTCGTTGTATCAATGGAGAGATAGATCGATCATACGGAACGTCGTGTTGCAATTTGATTACGTTTCTTTTTGCAAACTCTTGCGGAATATATAATGTAAAAGTATACACTCGTCGCCCGATGCATGGCAAGCGCGAAGACACACAATAATTACGTTGCGGTAAGAATAATCTCCGAATTGTTACATTCCGCGATGGTTTAAATGGCCCGAGGCGTTGCAGACTATTATTAGCTACCACGTATTATTTTCTAGTCTGCCTGAACGTTCAAAATTGGCATGTGCATTATAGTAGCGCGCCTGGCAACTACGAGGCCGACACGTTGATCCAACGTCGTCGATTATCCGGTGGAACGTAGCACGCCGCTCAACGAGATTTCTCAACGGCGCGTTTGAGATATTTAGACCGGCTTTTATTACCGGGGTAAGCTCTCGTTGTTTCGCACACACCGCAGTCAGTACCGGTTGTCCCTCCCGAGCCCGAGGGCGCAACGGTTAAATTCCAGCGGGCGTTCTCGCGTGGCGGAATGTCTCCCCGCGAGAGATCCCCGAGTAAAGGAAGAGCCCCGGCTCCTTAACCGATCGAGGAGGAGATGGAGAACGCGAGAGGAAAAGAGAGGCGGAGAGACTCGTCTGAGTGAGACCTTCCGGGAAATTGGATTGGCATTTTGTTCTTTACGAGCGTCCGCGGGGCCGCCATGGTTCTACAAGATAGAACGTTCCTGTCGGAAGACGGGGCACGCGGTTATACAGGGTGGACACTGTTCTACGGATGACGGAACACACGGTTACACCGGTTAAGTGAAAAGATCCCATCCGAGCTTGGGAATTCCAATTTTACTTTGTCGAAATGTAATTTAATCGCGTGCTGTTTTATCGGGGGGAAAAAATTATACCCTAGTTTTAATCCGACTATTGACGGATTAGGTGAGCTCTTCTTGCTCGAAGCCCGAGTACAACGTGGCACGCGATAATTATGAAAATATTATCTGATAACGGAACCTGTAACACACGTAGGTTTCATGTATGTATAATTGTGTACCTTCCAAGTGATTCTATTCTTTCCTAAGTTTGATTACTTGTATCGTTTTCCGAAAACTACACGCGCCTTCACTTGCTGCGTTATTTTCAGCCAGAGAAAATGATACCCGCGCATTGAACAGATTATTAGTATTAACAATTGTCGGGGGACGAAACGCGCGGTTAGACGAGATGAAATATAGGAAGGACGGGCCGTAACACGGGATGAGACAGTGCTATTGAAATGGAAGATACGTGCTCTTTCATTTCGTGAATCCAGGAACGTAATAACGGCCCTCGCCTCGGTATCATTTCCGATCTAGCAGGCTCCCGAGCTTTATCTCGCGTATCGATTCGAATCTCGGTCCAAACGCACCGCATGCTGCGAATAATACTTCCGTTGTAAAGTACCGGAGCCAATCTCTAATGATAGATCGCGAGCGCGGTTTTGCTTCCGATTCTTCCGTCGATGGTTAAACGAAACTCCGGCATTGCGTAAATCGCATGAGAAAGAGACACGCGTCATCTCGTTTTTCCGAACGCCAGAAATGGGGAAAGGAAAAAGAAATGGAAGAAACGAACCACCCGGTGACGCGCTCGACCCGATCGGATCGGATCGGGTCGTCGGCTTGGGCGCTCGCGGATTTTTGCACGGCGCGTGCAGCAGGAAGCGCATGATTTGTGCCGACAATCGCGACACGTAGGCGTATGTATATCGCCCGGGAATACAGTCCGGGTTCGATTCGAGTTCCTCGAGATAGCCGGGGCTGCGCAGCTGCCTTGCCTACGTCCTAGCTCGCTCGCGCTCACGCCGAGCTATCGCGAACGAGAAGACGGCAGACGGAGAATCGTTCTTCCTATCCTTCCAAGTTCGATGACTCTCGGCGATGATCATCGCGAGGGGGCAAACGTCCTCCTCTCCCCTGCCCTCCCGTTCCCCGTTCTCTCTGCCTGGGTCCCTTCGCGCTTCGTCGCCCCCTGCGCTCCTTCTCCTCCTCCACCACCTCCTCCACCTCCTTCTCCTCCTCCTCCTTTTCCTCCCGATGTTGCTCCCTTCTTCTCTCTTCCTTCGCCTTCCCCCCGCGGGTACCCTACGCTCGAGTTATCATAACCGCCGCCATCCGTCATGCATCACTTGCCACTTTGTGCCCCGGAGAATCCTCTCGCCGCGGCACGACAATTCGCGCGCGAATCCATTGGGGAATCGCGACGCCGAGAGCGAATAGCAGGATATCGCCAGGTGGTTGTGTCACCAGGACTTTTCCCCGCGTGCAATTGAACCTCGCGACAAAAATCCGGTTACCGACGAAAAAATCGCCGAGCTGTTGTATGATATTCGCAAAGGCTCGAGCTACTTTTAGAGTCGTTTTATGAAAGTTGTACCCATACAACCTTGTAGCTTACACGCGTATGAGACAATTTTACGTGCGCTGCACGCTCACGCGCAACTACTACGAGTTACGAAAGTTTCGCCGTTTAAAGGAACAAAATTAGACGTAATTAATATCCTGTTACGCATTTATTACGATTTACGATAAAATTGCGCACGTATCAACGTTTAAACGGCCGTAAGCCGCGTGAATTTCAGAATGCATTGTCGGAGGTGAAACTGTGGGAAACACGCCCGGTGTCCTTTTTTCTTTCTCTGATCCGACCACGATATCGATCAATCTGGTCCCCCGTTGTTTCACCGCTGGCGTCGCGCGGAAGTGAAACATGTTGCCAGTCTTCGGGCCCTCCTATTTCAGAAAACGCAGATAAACGCGCGTGTAGCGTACTCGCGCGAGAATATCTAAGCCATCATTTGCACTTGGCGTTTATCGATCAATCGGTGGTTTCGTCTTAACTGCGAGTTTATGGGCCCTTTTCACCGGAGGAAACCTGTATTTCAGATCGTCGCCTCTCGCATCTGATGTCAGTATTATCCGCCTCCTGAGAGCGATCGCGGGCGTAATTTCGCTCATTTCCATCGCCGATTTTTTTTTCTCTCGCGAACGATAAACCGACCGTGCGAGTGACGATTCGATCCCGCACTGAAAAAAATTTCTGGTTGAATATGGACGAATCAGATAATTCCTTTAGGATTTACCAGAATTCCTGTAATCCTACAGAATTTACCAGAATTTCTGTAATCCTACAGAAATTCTGGTAAATCCTAAAGGAATTCTGGTAAATCCTAAAGGAATTATCTGATTCGTCCATATTCAACCAGAAATTTTTTTCAGTGCGATGCCTCGTTTGCGGCGCGAGAGATCGGGAGAGAAAGAGGGAAAAGCCGGCTTTCCACGCGCGCCATCGTTTCCACGTTTTTGAATACGTGGCGCACTTAGCGGGGACCGTCCTGCTTGTCTCGCGCCGTTTACCTTAACGACGTCGACTTTTCTCCGGCGCTTTTCGCATCGCTCTTACTCAGCCCGGGCTAGCGGTACTACCGGTCGATCGACACGGACGGGTCGCGTGTGCAGGTTGGGGCCACCTGCTCCCGTACCGGCGGTGAATGGAAGAACTCACTTTAGAGAGACGCATCCCAGACGGTCCTCTCCCTCGTTCGTACGGCCTCTCCTTCTCTCTCCGCCCGTATCCCGACACGACTGACACGAGGTTAAGCCACGTCTAACTGTAAGATAATCGGCCTGCTCGTTCGGATCGTTTGGTCAACTCGCGTGCGTTTACTCTCCTCTTTTTCCGTCCTCCCTCCCGCCGGCTCTACCCGCGGCCCCGTACGCTCTTCGTTCATCAATGGCCTCGCGAACCGTCGTCCTTCGTCCGACGGGAGATGCTGGAAAGTTATTGAGCAACGGCATTTCTTTTTTCCCTTCCGAATGCGATCGGAGAGAAGATGCGCATTACGGGCGGAGTTAATGGTACTTTTATACGGCATCCGCGTTCCTTATCTCGGTAGCGAGAGGGAAATGCGCAACGCCTCCCTACAATCTGCATTCACGCGAGTGATTTTTCATCGACGCGACCGTCGCGGACGAAGCGGGCTCGTAAAATATACTTCTCGCGGGGAAAATATTAATTAAATGTATCAGGCGTTAAAATACGAGCGTGTTATTATGCAAAAGTGCGGGCCTTATCGGGGAGCATTTGAGGCGGACTACGTAGCATATTTGCAAATTGATCACTCTCATTAACGTTTAATTACACCCTTAATCGTCTTATGCAAAGCCAACGGAATTGGTATGCGAAAGCGCACTTTTCACGCAGGTGGGGTTTAAGGGAAATTGGAACTGGTTTGCAAATTGATCCTCTTAATTGACCGTCCGATCGTCCTACAAAGTATACAGATCGCCGTACAGAGTTTTAATCCCGGCTCATAACACTAAATCAACATTTGCATTTATTTATCACGTTACTTTAGATCTCGCCTTGCTCCTTATTATCCCTCCGCGTTACGCAATTTCCTCTGTTTATTAACGACAGAATCGTTCTGTTACCGTCTCTAACAATTCTATACACATTTTCTGCAGCTGTTATGTAATTAGTGATTATTTTTGTCCACGTATCTTCTTATTACATTTCCACTTAATTAATACACCTCTGATCCGTACATGACGCAGGAAATCTAGCGCGTGATGGAACTCATTGAGAATGCACTTATAAACTCGCTGCGAGCCGTACGATCTGTCTAGCTGATTAGCTTATCTCTCTGAAACTCGTACTTTACTTAAGAAACAGCGCAATTCTTATTGCTCCCGTAAAAAAGTCGCCGGATTTATGGCACATTCAGCTTTACGGATCCAATTAGATCCCACAGTAAGTTTCAATAGGATTTCAGGCGAGCACGTTAGATAATTGGTCCCGCTTTCTGATCCTTCCAGATGCAACATGAATGGCGAGTCGCGCGCACCATAGAGACGGCAGGTCGGCATAGAAATGGGCAACAACGGCAGCAGCTCCCATCAATATTGCGCGTCCAACGGGCCGCAGGAGATCGCCGGGCGCGGGTGGACGCAGTCCTTCCCCCGGGAGCTGGGTAGGCATCACCCGCAGCAGCCGACAGGACACAAGGTCCTGCCGGAGCCGCCCAATCAGCGGCTACGCGCCACCAATAATGGAAGCATCATTCACAACGGGGGAACCATAAGCGGCCGCCGGCCGCCGGCCCTCACGCTTCCGCACGACCTTAATAAGGTAAGGATTCGCGGCGGCTTTTCGAGTCGCGCTGATGACGTGGCGTGCCAAGTTCTTCGTGTGCCGCGGAACGCGAGTCGCCGCGCGATCCGTTGGCAGCCGCGGTCACCATCGGCGAGCGCGTACTCAATTTTTCCGCAAGTACAGATTCTCTCACGCCGGTTGATCATTCACCTGTTCAATAATAGCGACGGATGGGGGTATTGACGATAATAATAACAGACTGGGTACGTTTTCAGTCAAATTCAATCGTGCCGATTTTGGCTCGGTTCGTTGGAGATCCCGAGTCGAAATGTTGGCCCTGTGTTGAACCTTTAATTCTATTATACAGGGTGAGTCTTTCCATATCCGACAAAATTTTTGAGAAGGTAGAACGGATCGAG